CACTGCCAGGGATGGGGCAGCCACAGCTTCTCTGGGCAACCTGTGCCAGGGCCTCAGCACCCTCACAGGGAAGAACTTCTTCCTAAGATTTCATGTAGATCTCCCGTCTGTCAGTTTAAAGCCATTCCCCCTTGTCCTGTCCCTGCAGGCCCTTCTAAAAGCTCCTCCACATGCGTCTGTATCACAGTCCCCTCTACCCACTCTGAATGTGACCCTCAGTCCCATCCTCACACTGATGCTGATGGCTGCACCCACATCCCCATTCTCCACCCATGGGGATCCCACATCCTCCACTGTGGGAGTCCCCCAACCCCCAGCATCTTTGCTGCATCTCCTGCCCCCCAGGCCCTGCCCATGCTCACCTCTTTTGGGCATCCCTCCAGCGATGCCTCAGCCCCATCCTGCACCCGGGTGTCCATGCAGGGCAGCAGGCAGAGAACAGGGGCAGCTCAAGTTCCCTGCAAACAGAGCTTCATCAACCAGGGTGCCTGTGGCTTGCCCCCCAAGTCCTGCCAGCCAGATACCACCCCTAGCTCCCCACCATGGCAAAGCACCCCATCCCATGGTCCTGCCCACCGCTGCCTCCCCAGGCAGATGCAGGTGAGGGTGGCCATCCTCCTCCATGTCACCCGCTCCATGCCCCCCAGCAGAAGGGGGCTGCTCACCAGGGTGCCAGTGAGGGACTGCGGCAAGGCCCCACAGCCCATCCCAGCACATGTGCATGCAGAGCCCGGCACACCCAGGAGGTGAGATCTGCCCTGGCTCGCCCATTTCACCCACACCGTGAGCCCAAGGGGGACACACCAGCACAGCACAGCTTCCCCAGCACAGCCAGGGCCCCTTCCCCCAGCCTGATCCCTTCCTCCTCACCGCCTTCCACCTCGCACCTTCACCCCAGGTCTGCGCCAAACACCCAGAGAGCGAAGAAACCTTTGCCCTCACCCTGCTTCAGCAGACACAGCCCCATGGCGTGCCCCAACAGCCCAGCTCTGCCTGGCATGCAGCACTGCTGGACTATGAGGGGCTCCCCATCACAGGGAGCAGAGGGTCAGACCCCAGCCTGGTTGGAGAAGAGCAGAGCTGGGCTCATCCATACCAAGGACTGGAGAAGGAGCTCTGTAAAGGTGGTCTCTATGTCCCCTCCTGGCTTGCTGTAGCCAGCCCACCCTGTTTGCCCCAACACCTTCTCTGCACAGATGGGATGGACGCACCACAGCAGCTTCACCGATGCTGAGAGCAGTGGTGGCAGTGAGGGTCCTGATGGGTGGTGGGGAGGCAGGAGAGACACTGGCAGAGCAGGCAGAGGAGCAGGATGAGCCTTGAGAATGAGTCACAGCCTGAAGGGCAGCAGCCCTGCCCTGCCGAACATGCAGGGACCCAGCCACTGCCTGCGACAGGGCAAGGCACAGTCCCGGAGGTGGATTATATCCTCCGAAAACAACTGTGCGAATGAGCCACCATGGAACAGGCAACATCCAACGGGGTCACAGAGCTGCTTGGGCTGCCCCAGGACACAGCAACATGCATTCACCTAAGCTGTGGAAACATTTCACGCCGTATCGGCTCACCTCCCAGCCCGAAAACACAAGTACTAAGCAGCACACAAGCCTTAGCTCCCTGCAGCAACCCAATCCACAGCCCTTCCCCAGCACAGCCACAGCAGCACCCCCAGACTGACAGCAGGGCAATCACCTTCCACGCACCCACTACTGCAGATAGGCTGGTGCCCACATCAGCAAAGCAACCAGCTACATGGGGTTATGTTATAGAATCATTATCTTTAAAGACACGCACAGCAGGGAACAGGCAACTTGACCCCTCATCCAGGCAGTTCCCGATTGCCTCCTTTACCACCCATCCACACAGTTCCCACTTGCCCCACAGCCACCTCCCAGTATGGGATTCCCATCTGCAGCATGAGATTTCCAACCAGGAAGAAGCCAGAACCTGTCCCTTATCTCAGGTGCGCCACCCCCACTGCTGAATTTCAACCGTGACAGATGCTGGCAGGGTGAGATCAAGGCGCCATGAGAAGCAAGTCACCAAAACACCCTCAAAAGCGTCTCCTCATATGATTCACTGGGGCAGGTTTCAGAGCCACCATCTCCCATTTCAGAAAGAGGTCACCTCAGAGCATATCCCCCACAGAAACCATCCCCAACCTGTGTCAGGCGAGAGAAGGGAAGGAAAAAAGCCAGACTATTTTATTTCCTGATTTATTGTGGTTAACATAGCGACACTCATTTGTTTAATTCTCTGTACACAGCTTTGGAATCGTTCCTCTTCTCCCTGGGGAGAGAAATCCTGCTTACTGAAGAGCTGCGTTAGGAATCACAGAGGTTACAAGGAGCCACGAGAAGCTAAAAGTTACCTTAACTTCTACTCTCCTGGAAGTGGAATAGTTCTTAATGTGCATTCATTAGTTGAAAATTACCAGCTGAGTAGCTAAAAGAGATTTATCTACAAAGGCCACCAAAACCCCTTTCTGAGAAGGATTATAGGATATTTTCATTAGTGCATTGAAATGGCACTGCCAGGCACAGGATGGATGAATACCCACTCAGCAGTCCCTTGTCCCACTACTGAGGGTAAAGCTCCACTAACATCGCGGTCCCCTGGAAGGAGAGAAAGAGAGGGAATGGTCACAAAAAAGACTAATCATCACAGACATGCTTGCAATGGGAAACACCATCTCCCGACCATCTTAACATAAAAGTGGAGATGAAAATCCAGCACTGGCTCACTGAGAGGATTCTGCCAACAGCAGTTTGATGGCTCTGGGACAGCGAGCTGCTCCAGGCTGGGCACGGAACTGGAGTACCCCCTTAGCCAGTGCATCAGGCTGTCCCAAGGGCCAGACTAGGAATATCAGGACCTCAGGATACAGAGCACCAGCCATGCCAGGTCCCTGGGGAAGTGCCACTGGTCACTGCAGCCTGAACCAGGCTCCCATTCAAAGCCCCAGAAACTGTAGGTAAAGTTTCACCCCTGGTTTTCTAGTAAAGTTCTTTCTTCCCAAGGTGAGAAGAATGACACTCACAAACCCCAGTCTGGGAATTCTTTGAAGAGTCACAAAAGGAAACCCTTGACACACAGCAGAAATTTCTCCTTCCCTTTTTTCACAGAATCATTAGGGTAGGAAGGGACCTTTGGAGATCACCTAGTCTAACCCCCCTGCCAAGGCATGGCCACCTAGAGCAGGTTACACAGGAATGCATCCAGGTGGGTTTTGAATGTCTCCAGAGAGGGAGACTCCACAACCCTCCTGAGCAGCCTGTTCCAGTGCTCTGCCACCCTCAATGTGAAGTTCTTCCTCATGTTGAAGTAAAACTTCTTGTGTTTTAATTTATGGCCATTGCTTACTGTTTTACACTAAGGGCTGCCCTCGCCACTGCCCAGGGATGATTCTGAGCTGGGCTGAAGAGTCTCTAAAGGAGATGAGGCAGAGGGAGTCCACTGAATGGAGCTGGAGGGTGTTAGGGACACCCAGTGCTACCTGGTGTGACAGGACAGGATTTCACAGCACCACCAAGATCAGAAATGTGGCTAGTTCTCCAGAGAGAACAGTACCTGACCCCAGAGCATCGTTACCTGCCCTCCTGCTGCACAGGCAGCAACCAGGCCATACTGTCCTCCCTCCTTCTTCAACCTGTGGGCAGCAGTAATGACCAGCCGGCAGACAGTGGCACCAAAAGGATGGCCCAGTGAGAGGGAACCGCCCCAGGTATTAAACTTCTCCAGAGGAGGGACTCCAACCTGTGAGGACACACAGAGGGACACACAACATCACCTTGCCTGCAAGGAGACTGCTTGACCTGCTCCTGACACCACCAAACCTCCAACAGCCCAGGCTGAATTACAAAGTGTCCCTTGATATGTACAAATGCCTGAAGACAGGACATAGCTATGATAAAGGCTTTGCCAGTTTACCTGTGGCCAGGCAGGGATACTCCTGGCACTCTCAGAAAGCATGCTGGAGGACTGAGCCCCTCCCACTGTCTTTAATTCCCATCTCCAACAATTCCTAT